ATGGTCTCATCTCTGGGAATTTTTGTTTTCCTTAACTCGAGTCCCACAAATACCTTTTGGTGTCACGTGAAATTGGTCTCTGAAAAATGTGTCGCTTATCCCTAAATCGGTGCATCTGAAAAAAGAAATGGTCTTCGACTGACCGGGAGACTTTCTACGTCGTGTCGAAATGTGGCGCTGAACTGGTCGAAAGCGTCCCGCCCCAGGCGAACGCTGCGTGGTAAAATCCCCCCCCCCCGTGCTTTCCCAGGTCTTCTGTCTGCGCGGGAGGTCCACGCCGGTCTTGTGAACGGGAAAAGAACCGCCTTACGCGCCTGCGGCTGTTTCACACGGATCCGTTTGAGCGTCGCCATCCCAGAAGCGTGTCGTAATTTGGGACTTAGCGTTGTTTCTGAGAGAAAAGTTAGGTACTTTGTCAGATTTCGCAGCTAAAAGCCACAAAGCGAGTACTCGTAGGCTTCCGCCCCGCTGTCAAAGAGCAGGCGGGCGGTCTGGACCTTCCTCTGCGCAGCGGCAGGGGAAGCGCGTCTCGCTGTAGCCCTCGTGCAAGTCGCACTGACGAGGGAGCCCCCAGCTCCTGGCTTCCTCAAGGATTCCCTAGATAATTCTGTACTGAGTACATATCAACGCCCTAACTCCCGAGTCCCTTGCGGAACGCGGTCCCAGTTGGCGAACCTTAAGAACGGTTGAATCAGACTAGGCTTGCTCAGATGTCAGCGGTCAAGCTTGCCGGTTCCTAGGGGATACGGTGCAACCATTTATAATTACAAACGAATCTTCAGGACACCAGAGTAGAAACAGCCCGAGGCTTTTATTTTGATTTGAAACTATTAGCCATAAAGCGGAGCATATGGATGGCTCCTCTTGGCTTTTGATGGCAGTATGCAATTTGTATTGTATGTGTCTTTTAAGATATATGTATATATATATGAACTCAGTCTGTCCAAAGTATATGTTATACTTGTTTTTAGATTATGGTGCAACTGACTATATTGATATATTATTTATTGAGTGCTGAATCGCCATCTTACTGGCGAGAAATCTCGCATATTATACCGGAGTGCAATGTATATTCCTTTAGATTGCTGAGGCTTGATTGCTGTGATCACAAAAAACGCCCTGAAACGTATTTATGAACGGCCCCGACATGCAGAGAGTCAGTTGGTTATGGAAACAGTGTAGCGCTTGCCTGGGGCAAGTAAAATGAAGCCGTAGGCAGGTGATTCCGTGTTTTGCCAAAACGGCAAAGGGCTGGAGGGAGAGACCACCTTGGCGGTGTCGAACGTGTCGCTCGCCGAGCAGGTGTTGGCTGTCACTGCAGCGCGTGGTACGGAAGGGCCTGAGCAAGTCGAGTTTGAATTGCCCACTGGGGAGGAAGCAACTTCCAAATTTCCTAGGTTTCTGACAAGTACTTTGGTCAGGGTTTATGAATTACTCCACCCAATGAATCAGTGTTACGGAAAACCCCGGGTTTCCCAGCAGCAACGTTGATGCTGAACACCTGAAGGTCTCCGGAGCAGCCAAAGCTTTCGCTAGCCAACTCCGACAAATCCAGAGCTGTCCCAGGAGACACATTTCCGAAGTAGGAGAGTTTTGGTAAACTCGAACAATCAGGGAATCGTGGCGTGTGTCCAACTCCGTTACTTTTCGAGGACTTGGTCTCCGCTGCGGCGATGCCGTGTGACAGCGGCGGCGTTGGGGCGGGGGGAGGGACAGGTCAGCTCTACCATCGCGGTGTGAGCAGGGCCGAGCCGCAGCTCTGGGATGTGATTCCCAATGC